TAAATTTAATACAATCAGGTGTTGTACTTGATCAAGTCGTACGAGGTGGAAAGTTCACTGTCTAATGGTTGTGCCTGCAACAATGAGTGGTTTCCTTTACACACATTAATTTTGATTTTCCACGTGGTGGCATAATCAGCAAAGGCGTTAAGACATCGTTGAAGTTTGTTCGTTATTTCGCGAGGCATCCTTCCTTTGCCGGCTATTGCCGTATCATCTGCGAACAGGAAAAACACGCAACCGTCACCGAGGGGAGGAATGTCGGAAGTGTAAATGCTGTAAAGCAAAGGGCCCAGCAGACTGCCTTGCGGGACTCCTGCTGGGATGGAAAACGTGTCTGAAACCATTTAACGATACTTTAAACGATCTTTGCTGGAGGTAGTTACGGGTGAGTTTAACCAGATGTAATGGGAAGTTGAAGTTACAAAGCTTGTACACAAGTCCGTCATGCCAAACATTGTCAAACGACTTTTCAACGTCTAGCAATGCCATGGCTGTGGACTTGGATACAGCCTTGTTACTTCGTATGTTATTTATCACCCATACTGCCTGAACCCAAACTGTTCCGGAAGGAGAATGTTGTTTTCCTCGACAAACTTGAGCAAACGATTGAGAATGAGTTTCTCGAACAATTTGCTCAACGCTGAAAGGAGGCTAATTGTTCTGTAGCTTGACGACAATGTTGGATCCTTACCGGGTTTGTGGATTGATATAATTTTTGCTACCTTCCAGATGTAGTAGTCAGTAAGTGCAGTTCCAAGCATCTGTTGAAGATAGCGATTAAAAGAGACTGCACTTTCATGCTGAGTCTCTTCAAGGTTAAGTTGAATATGCCGCCATGTTCGTGGTGAATTTCTGCGCTGAGCAAATCTGTTGTACTGTAATCTTATCCACGACACACGACTCAAGGGGAGGCATCTAGGTTTTGAACGCATTGCGCGACCTGATCTTCGAGCGGACTTTTGAGAGACGAGCCAAGCAAATGCGATGAAGCGACATGCTTGCCGATCGCATTTGCTTTAGGGTGATATTGAGCCCATCGTCATCATTTTCGTGGAACGAGTTTGGGAGTTTGGAATGAGTTTTCAAGACCTTGGCTACCTTCCAGAATGGTCTGGAGCGGTCTTCCATATTCTGGACAACACGCCCGAAACTTTCATTTCTAGGTGAGTCCATTCTGGAAGCCATTTCACTTTTTTTTTTGTCCAGATCTCCAGTCCTCTGAAACTGGCGCCTAAGCACATTTCTCAAGCGAATCGGTAATTGGTTGTGGGAATCAATAGCAACAAACTTACCCCTCACAGAAACTTGTCGAACACATGCCACGGATATAGCCTGTTGGAGCTCTTCAAACGCCCGGTCGAGGACATCTACGGTGTCAAACGGCGGATCTCCGTCGATGACTCTGTCAACCACACGTCCAAACTGAATCCAGGAGTGACGTTGATGCCGAGTTCAGCCACCACCGGTTAGTGATCGTAACTGAGATCGTTGTGCACCTCCGGCTTGGATAGTCTGATGTTGGACAGGAAAAAGTCCAGAGTGGGGGATTTCCCGCTGGAGGGATGAAAGTTAGTTCGTCCGGAGACTGCACAGTAGACTGATGCAAAATTTGACTTTTTCGTTCCACAGTGCTTACATGGTTTCAAATCGGGTCGTGATTAGCCTTCAAAATTTACAACTCATTTGGTTAGAAACAGACTTCGCACAAACCATTTGAAGTTTACATGTAAATTACTATGGGAAATCTCAACTTTTTGTTCATTGCCTTCTAGTCTTTTTCCATATTGAGCTGCAAAACAACTCGATAGCTATTCTTATAGAAAATTTTCTCAGCTACAACTTTGTTGAAGATTGTTTCTATGTAAAACGAGACAGGAAATAGTTATTAATTATTTAAGAGATTGGTAAACTTATGACATGATCAAGCAGCTGCTCTGTAGGCAACACTGCATTTTGCAGTGTGACATAGTAGCCATGATTTGTGTGTCCTATTCAACGCCCCAGAAACATCAATGTTGCCTGCTGAGCAGTTGATTGAGCATGATCATAAGACATCAGTGCATTGAACCATTAATAACTTTCGATCCTTTCATTTAATCAAAAAGTGGTCTTGAGCAAAGTTGTAGCTGAGAAAATTTCCTACAAGTACAGTTGAAAGCTTTTGAAGCAGACCGATATGGTGAATTATTAGATACACATGAACAAAAATCTTGGTTTTACCATAGTAATTCCCATCCAAACTTCAAATGGTTTGTGCCATCTCAGTTTCTCACCAAATGGGTTCAAATTTTGAGAGGTTAGTCAGGATCCGATTTGGAATCGTTTAAGTATTGTGGAGCGAAAATTTCAAATTTTGCATCACTCTACTGCACAGTGTACAGTCCATATTGTGCGTGGTCGAACAGTAGGCATCCGTTCCGGTTCCGGTGATAGTTTCGCCAAGCTTCATGGCGGGCATTCAGGTCGTCCCCAACGATGAATCGGGAGCTAATACTGGCGGTCAGGTTGTGTAGAACTTGATTCCTTTCTTGACGATGACCACAATACCCCCACTCCTGAAGCTGGTGCGATAAAACCGGATAATATTATGGTCAGGCAACCAGAAGTTGTCGCCGGATTTTAGGTGGGTCTCAGTTAGAAGGCCCACGTCGATGCTGTGCTTGCGGAGGAAGTCGGCAAGCTCAATCTTTTTTACTCTTACAGAACAAGCATTCCACGTGACGATAGTTAGCGGTTTAGACGCCATACTGGATGATGAACTTACCGAGGACTTGGATTTGCTCGGGCTTATTGCGGCACTTACGAAGAGCACCGGTCATGTTGACGAAAATTTCCATCAGTTCATCGGGTGAGAACAGTTCGGGGTTGTTGTTTTGCGCTGTTGGTTGTCTCCAGAATCCAGAGGGGAGTGGAGATCTTTGTCCAGCAGAATCAACGGAAGCTTCTTGAGGGGGGCTGGTTGCTCCCGCGAATTCGCTTGCCTTTGCAAATCCTCCGTCCCGAATACCGGGGTTTTGTCCTTCCTGCGTCCTGGTTGATTGTTGGTTGCCACCTGCTTTCGGATGCGTTTGAAGTCCTCGCGTTTGGAGCACTGTCTGTCGGAACCTTGATGCGCACAACCACAGTTGGCACATTTTAACGCCAAGGCTCCATCCGCAGGGCAGTCATAAGTGGCGTGTTCTTGAGCGCAGTTGCTGCAGCGTGGCTTGATGTTACAGTTGCGGGTACCGTGTCCAAAATTGAGGCATCGCTGGCACTGCGTTACGTCACGATGGCCGCCACGGTATGACTCCCACCGTACGATGATGGAGTAGATCGAGCGGATGGATTGCAGCGAATTGAGCGTCACTGTCCCTTTCTGGAAGTCCACCAGGAAAAGACAATCCGGGAACGTTCTCACGTTTTCGACTCTCCTCGTAATCCGGAAGACAGCAATTGTGGCTAGCTTGAACCGGTCCTTGATTTCAGCTTCGATCATCTTGCGGTCGAAGTTTGGTAGGCCTCTCATCGGGGATGTCATGCGTGAAATATTCCGCCTTGGAATCTTTCAGGTGTTTCACGCCCACCAAATTTGACTATGAGAAAAAAACATCGAATGTTGAAATACTCACTCATTTCCGATCCTATGTTTCATGGAGATTTTTTCATAACGTTGGAAGCCCTATCTACCCTAAAAATATATAAAACCCGGAACCAAACACCCTGTATATATGAGCAATAATAAAAATTCAAAATTCAAAACGATCTCATCAACTTTCGATGTTTGTTCATCCTTTTATCCAATTTTCGCGTCTATTTGTGAACTCGTTGTTCTTCTCTGCATCACTGCTAGGCGCTACTGATCTCCCGAAAGTCTCCCATATAATTTCTGATGTGTTCTACGGCATTCCGACGGCCATTATCTTTGAATGATGATCTTGAGTTCCTAGTTGCGTCTTATAAAACCTTATAAAAAGTTCCGACACATCGTATCTTCAAGTGATCTTCGCAAACGCCACATTTCATTCAGGCTCCAATAATTCCCAGTGTCATCACTTACTAACACATGATATCTGCCTCGATCAACCTGGCAGAACGCGCCCTAACCCTTACTGATGCAGAGGGCAGGGATTGTTTACAAAATCAGTCAGGTACTTATTCTAACCCTATCTAGAAGTATAAGAATAAAAGGTCGGGAAAGCAACATGCTGAGTGAAGCAAGTAAATCAAACTTAGACTTTGAGTAATCTAACTGAAATGTTGGAAAGTTGTTTTTCACTCTTGGATTTTTTTTTCCTTTATTAGAGAGATTTTTAGCCTAAGGCTAGTTCATCTCTTAGTTTCACTCTTGGAGCTAACTCCTTCTTAACATGAGCTAGCGCTAGAAAACACTCCAACTCCTTCATAAGCAGTTCTTTGGTAGACAAAAGCTGTTGCACGTTCCAGCTGTTATTTATCTAGTTATTTCTGGTTCACAGGTTGTTCTCACTCGTTTCGATAAGGGCATTCTTGATGACCGTGTCCACTACTCTACTACGCTGCCACCTTTCGGAACATCCGCTACTCGGGCCTCAAGTTCTTCATTGAAAAACCTTTTCACTACTGGTTTATTTCGGACATCAAGAAAGCTCCGTCTACATGTTCGGCTAATGCAGATGTGGTTGACTTGTGCACCGACAGGGGAAGAGCGAGCCCCTGTCGTTCCTGCCACAGAATTCTGAAGCCATTGAAGCCACCAGGGTAGATCTTGATTTCACTCTTTGAAAACTTATCCACGACGGCATTCAGTTGACTGTACAAGTTCCTTAGCAGCATCGATTTGCGCATAAAATTGGTGTTTTCATCTCGTATAGTAGAATATAACAGCGCCTGTCCCGACGGCAGGCTGTGTTCTCCAATGTCTCTAAAGTGACCGCTGGTTGGGGTGGAAAATATTCGCTTCAGCATGTTTGTGCCACAGCCGGAGAAAGAGAAAAGTAAGGTATTTCTTTCGGAATGTAAAATCTTCCAGCCATAGCTATCGCTTTAAAATAGATGAATGCATTTCTCACAATGGGCCAGGGACTAAAACTGGACTTTGGTATATGTACAGTTGCTAATTTTTAACGTTTAAACTCTTAGTTAAAACAGTACGGACTCGAGCTACCCATCACCACACTTCCTATTGCAAATTTGCTTGCGATAATACCCAAATATTCTAACCAAGTTATTCGGCATTTTATTTTGTTAATAATATTAAGTATTGACTCTCTCACTCTACCTCTGCTTCTAACTGCTCCTTCATCTAAAAAGTGGAATGCGTTTTGGGGGAATTTTTGGTTTATCTCAGATTGTTTCCTAGTGTTGGGAAATTGCACACCAAACAAGCTACTTTCCATTCCAGCTGATGATTTTACCATTTTCAAACGCAAGACTGATCCGCGGTTTCGGGACCAATTTACCCGGTTTGACCAGTTCCATACTTTCGTCCTCGTAGTACTGGTTGAGCAGATTTTGGATTTGAATGATGGTCTTAGGATATAAATAAATTGACTTACCAAGCATTGCGAAATGAATTTCAGGTAACGGTGCTCCATTTTGGCATTGATTTCCAGGATATGTGCAATGCTGTGAAAAAGTACAGTAATCAATCGCAAGTTTTCACTAGGCTCCATAAGAAACAACTAACTTTTCCTGCGAGCAAAGCTTCTTGATGACATGTTGACATATGCTGGTATTGCAATCGACGTCAAACAGCGGAATTCCGAAATGAACGTCCAGCAGGGTCCATTCCTAAAAGCGAAAATATGCATTTAAATCTGCTTGTTATTTGCAAACAACGCCCACCTCCATCCGATTTCCGGACGATCGATCCCTCGAGTCGGAGTCCGAATCCGCGTTCCGACTGGCGTCGGCCAGTTGCCGTACCAAGTCGTGGTCGGGGCTAGGTTCAGACGGGCCGCCGTTGGTGGGTTCATCGTCCTCCGGGAGGTCCGGTTCGACTGAAACCTTCCCATCGTAGATGTCCCGTATCCGCCGGATGTCCTCGATCAGACTGGCGTCATCACTTTCGATCGAAGTTATCGAACTGATCGTATCCGATCGAGTCTATGGAAGCAGATAAATAGCAAAACCACACCTAATATGGCAATGAGGATTTGATAAGCTTACCGCCTTGGGTTTGGGGTGATCCAGTTTTGCTCCATCGGAGGAATGTTTTCGTTCCTTGCTGCTTTTGGCATGATCCCTGGACAGATGCACGCTATCGTCATAGTTGTCACATCCTGCGAATTAGGTGGTAACTTCAGAAGAAACCTGATACACACACACACACACAATCAACTCACCATAATCCGGAACTCCGGTCCTGATGAACGTCATATAGCCGAAGCTATTCTCCAAGTCTAGCACCTTGGCCAGCTTTCGCACAGCCGAATGCCGGCTCCAGCCCGTGCCTCGTTCACCCGCATTGAACGGAAACACCTCGTAGTGCATCTCGGCCGGTTGCTTGATCCCGTAGCCCTGGATCAGTACACATCCGTTCTTCAGGTGCTCGTTCAACGAGGCATATTTTTCCGAATTGAGCACAAACGATTCCGTGTGGACGATTGTTATGAGCAGTTTCCCGTAGCCGAGGAAAAGCCGCGGGAGATGATTGAGGACGGTTCCTTTGGCAAGCAGGAGGCTCGGGGGGCCGTAGGCTCCCATGTGGTAGTAGAACAGTTTGGACCAAATGTGCGAATTGGTTGAGGTTCGGTAGAACTGACCGAAGAATGGAATGGTGAAGGGAGAGGATAGGATCCCCGAAAGAGGCGCGGCAGCAATGAGGAATTTGTACTTCTTTTCCAGCAGACGGTTGCGAGTTTTCTGATCCAGGGCTTCGAGGCTTTCCAGACGAAGTAGGTCCAGTTCCGTGTTGAGAACCGTTTTCAGGGCAACGATTGTGGACCGTAGGATTATGGCATGATGGAAGTAGCGACTGACTTCGCCTTCCCCGTCGGCATCCAGAATGGATACCTTCTCCAGCTCGCGGAGAAAGTCGTTCATTCCTTCGTCGCATAGTTTGCCGACCTCAAACAGAGTTACGGCGTGGGTTTTTAGGCCCGGAGAAAGGTTCCCCATCATGAGGAACGCCGTGAGAGTGGAATCGAAGATGAAACCGACTCGTTTGGTGTCCTGAGAGGAGCGAAACGTTTCCTCCGGTTTGGCATCGGATAGGTTACTGTAGTCACCGGGACTGTCTTCGGCTGGACTCGGACTATCCAGAGAACCGATGGTGAGATCTGCTGCGCGTTCACTCTGTTCACTTTCGACGGATTCCTGGCTGAGGAGGAGCGAATGGTAGTTGAAGATGGTTCGGCCGGTTTGCTGCTGTTGTTGTTCGCGTCGGGCGATCCTCCAGCTCTCATGCGGTTCGACGGTGTTCGTGAAGCTGGACGGTTTGCGACGGGCAAAGTTCAGGCGGCAAAAAAGGGACGTAGCTTGCTTGACGGTATCCAGCGGGACTTGGAGGATGTTAGATAACTGGAAAAGGGAAGTTTTCATTAGTTGGCTTAAGGCACTCTCATCGATTCTGTCAATTCGTCCATTCTGTAGATTCTGTCAATTATGTCGATTTAGTCGAATTTCTGCCGATTATTTGTCCATCCTGGCGAATCTTTGTCAATTCTATCAATTTTGTCGATTTTGTCGATTGTGACGATTCTACCGATTATATGTCAATTATGACGGCAATTCTGTTGATTATGTCAATTCTACCGATTTTGCCGATTCTGTCAATTTCATCGATTCAGTCGATTCCGTCGGTTTTTTTTTTTTTTTTTATTGATTTTCCGTCGATTTGTCGATTTTATGTCGATTCTGTCGATTCTGTTGATTCTCTCTCAATTCTGTCGGTTTTGTCGATTCTTATGATCTTTCGATCCGATTTTATGTCTGCCGATTCTCTATCAATTTTTTCGACCCTGCTAATTGTCTATTCTGTCGATTCTCTGTCAATTTTCTGTAAATTATTTCGATTTTGTCAAATCTGTAGATTCAGTCGTTTCTATTTCGTCGATTTTAGTCGATTTTCTGTCGATTCCGTCGATTCGGTAAATTTTGTCGATTTTAAGTCGATTTTGTCAATTATTTATCGGTGTCTGTTGATTTTGTCAATTCCGTCGATTTTGTCGATTATCCCTCAATTGAGTTGTTTAGGGGTATTGAGGTAAATACATATTCGTTATCTGCATTAAAAATGGAACCGAAATCCAAAATTTCATCAATTTTGGTACACTGGAACTATTTTAAATAAGTACGATTACATTAGCAAAAATCACCATCTTAGCGCCCCTTGGTGGGACTTTGTATGGGAGCGAGCTGTCAACGATTAGATTTAGATGTCAACGATCAAAATTTTAAATCTTGATTTAAAAATCGAGATGAATGTCTACGGGATCAGAAAACGAAGCTCTATCAGATGATGTATAAAAATCGGTGTATATTTTTCGAAATTAAACAACCCAATTCTGTCGATTGTTTCCTTCGATTCAATTATATGTCAATTCTGTCGATTTTCTATCGATTTTGTCGATTCTGTCGATTCTGTCGATTCTACCAGGTGTCTCTACATTCTGTCGATTATCTTTCAATTCAGTCGATTTTGTCAAATCTGTAGATTCGGTCGTTTCTATTGATTTCGTAGATTCTGTCAGTTTCGTCAATTCTGTAGATTTTAGTTGATTCTGCCGATTTTCTGTCGATTCCGCTTCTGTCGATTCTGCTGATTATCTGTCAGTTCTGTAGATTTTGTCGATTCTCTATCGATTTTGTCGATTCCGTTGATTATATAGATTCTCAGTCGGTTTTGTCAATTCCATCGATTCGATTGTCTGCCATTTTTCTGTCAATTCTGTCATTTTTTCGATTCTTTATAGATTTTGTCGATTCTCTGACGAATCTGCCGAATCTCTGTCAATTATGTCGAATATATAGCAATTCTGTTGATTTTGCCGATTCGCAGTCCATTTTTTAAATTCTTCCAATGTTGTCGATTTTGTCAATTTCCTCCATAGAGTCGATTTCGTCGATTTTATGTCGATTCCCTCGATTCTCTGTCACTGTCTGTCAATTCTGTCGATTCTCTGTCAATTCTGATGATTAGCTCGATTCCGTCAAATTCCGTCGATGTTATATCGATTTTGTGGTTTCTGTTGATTCCGTCAATTCTCTATCGATTCTGTCAATTCCATCAAATCGGCATCTCTGTCAATTCTGTCGATTTTGTCTATATTCTGTCAATTCTGTCGATTCTGATGAATCCTTCGATTTTATGTCTATTCTGTCGATTCTCAATCGATTTTGTCGATTCTGTCAATTCTGCTAGTTGCCTATTTCGTCGATTCTCTGTAAATTATGTCGATTATCTTTCAATTCTGTCAATTCTGAAGATTCGGTCGTTTCTATTGATTCCGTCGATCTTTAGATTATATCAGTTTCGTCGATTTTAATCGATTTCGTCGATTCTCTATCGATGTCTGTTGATTTCGTCGAGGATTTTGTCGATTCACAGTCGATTTTAGCAATTCTGCCGATTTCGTCGATTCTGTCAATTTCCTCGATTCAGTCGATTCCGTCGATTTTCTGTCGATTCTAAGTAGATTTAGTCGATACTGTAATTTCTGTTGATTCCGTCGATTCTGTCAATTCCGTCGATTTTGCAGATTATAATATAATCTAGATAAACATTTCAAAAGGTCCTATCTGCATTGATCGATTCTCATCATCGACTTTCTCTTTCGTTAATAACGGAGCTGCAAAACCTTTCCCTATTGTATTTGAAGTTTTGGACGCTAGATAAAAATCTCCGTTTTCAAACTTTGCGATAAAATTAACGCAAAATCTGTTTGCGTAGCAGTAGTTATCAAAAGAGAAAGTCGATGAAGAGAATCGATCAACGCAGATAGGACGATTTGAAATGTTCATCGAGAATGTAAATTAAATCAACATAATTTTTTTCAATTCTGTCGATTCTGATGATTCTTCGATTCTGATGATTCTTAGATTTTGTCAATTCAGTCAATTCAAGCTTGCATTAGGTCCTAAGTAACATTGATCGATTCTCTTCGTCAACTTTCTCTTTCGTTAATAACTTGAGCTCATAACCGTTTCTTGTTGTGTTTGTCGTATTAGATGCTAGATAAAAGCTTCTGTTATCGATCTGTGTGCTGAAAATACCTGGTAATGTATTTACATGGCCGTGGGGATACAAAGAGAAAGTCGACGAAGAGAATCTGTCAATGTTACTTAGGACCTAATGCAATGTTCAGCTTGAATTCTACTTGCTGTCTATTCTATGGATTCTCTGTAAATTCTATCGATTTTGTCAAATCTGTAGATTCGGTCGTTTCTTTTGATTTCGTTGATTTTGTCGATTATCTGTAGATTCTGTCAATGTCAATGTCGATTTTAAGTCGACTTGATCGATTCTATTGATTTTGTCAATTTAGTCGATTTTGTTGTCTGTTCTATGTCAATTCTGTCGATCCTGTCAATAACTAAAAGATAATCAAAGGAATTATTCTGTAGATTCTGTCGTTTCCATCGATTCTTTGTCGATTTTGCCAATTCTCTGTAGATTCTCACCCCTATTCTGTATTTCGTTTCGAACGAAATTCTCATACAAATCAATATTTTTTTGTATGAGAATTTCGTTCGAAACGGAATACAGAATAGGGGTGTCTGTCAATTTTGTCGATTCTGTCGATTTTCTATCAATTCTGCCAATTCTCTGTAGATTTTGTTAAAGCTCTCTTAGGCTGTGTTCCATTTGGTGAATTTTCACTTAAATTTGACACGTTGAAAATAAATTATAATGTTCGAAAATCCTGATTTTCGAGAAGGTGTTTGTCAAAATTGATTCCTAGTCTGTCAGAAATAAGTCTAGTATAATAGCAGGATTATTTGAAAATTGTCTGTCAGTCAAATTTAAGTGAAAAATTCGCCAAATGGAACACAGCCTTAGTAAAAGTATGGACGTCTGTCAAAGGTAGCTCCAATCGAGCCGTCAAAATGTACTGCTTTGCTCGATTGGAACGTCTTTTTTCAGTTTTGTGGTGACAGTACAGGACTTAAGATTTTTCCGATTCTCTCTCGATTCTGTAAGTCTGTCCGTATGTCTGCCCGTTCAAATACTTACATCCGCAATCGTCGACTGCTCATCCGCCGTGACGAACACATTGTACAGCAGATTCTCAAAGTGATCTCCGCTGACCCGGTTCATCACGAAATTCTGCAACGGCGGAATGGTGATCTTGTCCTCCCCGCTAATTGGCACGTCGAGATAGATTAGCCCCTTCCGGTACAGACTGTGCACCACCTCGTAGTCCAACGCACCAGCCGTTTGAGCACCGCAATCAATCAACTGATCCAGCACTGCCAGCTCCACCTGGTTCACAAACTGCACATCGCTCTCCAGAACATAGCCCACCTCAACCTTCCACCAGTGTTCGATCACGATCCGCCGGGGAAACTTTGGCAGCAGATAGTACGGATTTCGCTTGAAGAACAACTTCGGCGAGCTCGTCTTCAAATCACTCGATATCGAAAGATACTCATTGCGTCCAATTCCGACCACCCGGAGGCAATCCGCTGCCGTAAAATTCGGTAATGAATCATAGTTCTTGTCGTTGTTCAACAGGAAAACGAGCATATCTACAACGAGAGTTTCCAACTTGAGTCAATGTGCTTATCTCCCTCCCCACCAACACACAGCCCACTCACCTATGTAGTAGTTGAAGGGTGTCAACCGAAGCCCTTTCGTCACGATATCGGCCAGATGGTACGGAAACAGGTGCAGTGCCCTAATGTTTTCCTCGATCAATTTTTCATAATACAACTTTTCATGGCCAAACGTCGTATGCACTGCCGAACGGAACCAACATGAATTCATTATGATTACATACATATATTACCCAATCCGCTCAATGTCATCATGCACTTACCTAAATTGCCCCGATAGCGAAGTTGGTTCTTTAGACTGTACTCCAGGATGAGCTTCTCGTAACGTTTCTCATTATCATGCAATGCCTAGGGCAACAAAAAATCAAAGCAATTATTCAAAACATTTCCGCGAAGCAATTTCCACAACCCAATCCGTACCTTCCTTAGCTCCAGGGGTAGATTCCTCCAGCCGATTTTGCCTCGGATGTTTTCCTCCACGACGTGCAGTATGTTCCTTGGACTCATGATTCCTGCCTCTGGGGGGTCAGCAGCACATCGTTTCGGATCGTCTAAATTTCAACCGCAGATTCTGGGCCTCCCCCGGACTAGTGCCTAGTTGAAATCTTTTTCAACCACCTTGACGCAATTCGAATCAATGGAGAAAGCTGTCGACGTAGTACAAAAACTATCCAACACTGGCTAATACTGATTTTTGTACGCGGAAAAGTGACGGAATGTTTTTGTTTTCATTTTAAAATTCTCACGAATTTCGTCTTCTGGTGCCTGTCGTCGTGGGAATTGAAAGGAACGAATGAGCGGGTGGAGAAGAACTCAAAGTTGACGTTTCTCTCTTTGCGGCGAGCGGGGCGAGCGCGAGCATGCTTTTTGTGCCTTTATACACACGGCCGATCAGACGAACTCAAGTCGAGTTGACGCAATTTCGTTAAAAGTGAATTCTCGAAGGGACGTATCAGCTTTTGTAAACAATGCATTTGATCGTCGATTTGACGTAACTGGTAGCTCGCCCACTCATTATAACACTACCATCAGATAGGGGAAAATTTTCCTTACCTGATAGTGGTGTTTGTGTGCGTGGTCGAGCTACCAGTTACGTCAAATTGACGATCAAATGCATTGTTTACAAAAGATGATACGTCCGTTTCGAAAAAGTAATCGAGAATTTACTGGGGGCAAGACACCCACATACAGCGGGTGAGCCGCCCCCGAACCGCTCGGCGGACGGGGCGGATTTGGGCCACTCGAACCTCGCGCCGGCGCGCATATTTGTAACATTTGGGCACAAACGAAGTTACAGACGACTAACTGGCGAAGAAATCCATTAAAATAATGTGGTTCACTGTAATAGAATTTTCTTGAAAGCTTGTGCCATCATCCACCAGATGGGTTAGTTTTTTTGTTTTGATTTGAACAAAGTTGATTTTGTGTACAATGATTCTTTGACAGTGTGCAAAGAGTGCGTATCATTTTGTAATTTTTTTATGCATTTCAGTTTTGAGTAGAGTGAAAGAGATATAACCAAAACATTCTAGTACATTTGGTGAAAATGCTAGTTCAATCAACAATCAATACGAAACTAACGATTTTAAATTGGCTCACCACTTTAGTAGCCTATTGGTCCCAAGCAAACGATTAACGTACCCTATTCTAGTTGAAATTCTATTACTACACTATGTTTGTTTTGATTCGCTATGAAAGTTTGACAGATAACATCAGGGGTGCCCTAATAAAAAATAACCATAAACGAACGATAACCCAAATAATAGAACTATACAACAAATGGTTTGGATGATACCCGGAACACGTCGTTAAGCAAAATAACCATAATAATTTTATTAGGGTGTGTGGATTCATGCAGAACATGCAGGGGTGAGTGAAATAGCTTGGGACTGCTTGGGACCGTTGTTCTGGTACTGAGTGAGCCAAAAATAATAATGATTTTCTTCGGGACCCAGTGGTCTTAGAGTTACCTCTATGGTTCAATCTAGTAGTATTCTAGTCGAAATTCTAGTACTACGCAACGTTTGTTTTTATTCGCTATGAAAGTTTGACAGATAAAATGAGGGGTTATTGGTTTTTCCTATGTTTCGAGGGGTGATTCGACAAGCTTCCCGCATAAGCGCGAACCATAAATTGACCTTACCGATAATGGTTATAAATTGTTTATAATCCCTGCTAAACTTCAACTGAAATGGTTATGGAACTTTACATGAACGTTTAATGATAAAGTTTTAACCTTAAGTATTATAGTTTTTTGGAAGTGGACCTTACAAATAATGGGTTGTTAAGAACCATTACCATTCAAAATTCTTGTTTTCTCCATACATTTTCGGAAAGAAAACTATACTAAAACCTTTTAACTTATGGTTTGAGAACATTAATGGTAATGGTTATGGTAACCAGTAAGGTCCATGAATGGTTTTGTAACATCGATCAACTTTATGTGGAATATATCGTGAATTGGTTGCCTGTAAATTACTGATTACCAATTCACGATATATTTCACGTAAAGTTGAGCGATAATACAAAACCATTAATGGACCTTACTGACTACCATAACCATAACCATTAATGTTCTCAAACCATAAGTAAAAACGTTCTAATATAGTTCTCTTTCTGAAAATGTATGGAGAAAACAAGAATTTGGAATGGTAATGGTTCTTAACAACCCATTGTTTGTAAGGTCCGCTTCCAAAAAACCATAATACATAAGGTTAAAACTTTATCACACAAACGTTCATGTAAAGTTCCATAACCATTTCAGTTGAAGTTTAGCAGGGATTATAAACAATTTATAACCATTATCGGTAAGGTCATGTGATGGTTCGCGTTTATGCGGGTTGGGACCGAAGATAGTACCAGAGGTGAGCCAAAAAGTTGAGCACGTTTCTTTGGGACCTACTTGTCTTAGAGTTACCTCTATGGTACTATCAACAATCAATACGAAACTAACGATCTTAAATTGGATCACCACTTTAGTAGCCTATTGGTCCCAAGCAAACGATTAACGTACCCTATTCTAGTTGAAATTCTATTACTACACTATGTTTGTTTTGATTCGCTATGAAAGTTTGACAGATAACATCAGGGGTGTGTGGATTCATGCAGAACATGCAGGGGTGAGTGAAATAGCTTGGGACTGCTTGGGACCGTTGTTCTGGTACTGAGTGAGCCAAAAATAATAATGATTTTCTTCGGGACCCAGTGGTCTTAGAGTTACCTCTATGGTAGTAGTGTTGCCATGTGGTACAATCCAGTAGTAGTGGTGTTGCCATGTGGTACACTGAAAAATTGCAATAGCAGGTTAGTCACCAAAGTTTTCGAGCCGCTCCGTCTGTCACTTCGTTTGTGATTTGGGCGCCTGAGGCGAAAACGATACCTGTAAAAAAAACTGATCGTTTCGGCCATTTTGTCCACACACAAGCGCCCGGCGCGCTCACGGTTGTTCACCACCATTTTCTTTTTCAATGGGTTTAATTTAATAAAAATAAAAACAGTGATGTAGGTATAAACATGAGCTTTGTAAAAGCGTTTCAAAACAGTTTTTGACAATTCTTTCGACTGAAATTGTTAGAGCAGCTGGCAGCAAAAGATTGTAAACAAACCAATACTGCATATGTGTGCGTTCCTTAGAGAAAAAGGCTATAGAAAGAAGGTTGCTGCTTAGCTTGACGAGAATACGTAAATTCCCCTACTAGTTCAATGGAATTCAAATCTAGTTCCAACACAGAAAAGAAAAAAGTTGTTGAACATTACATCCAAACAGCTGCACAGAGGTCATTCCGCCCGTTGTGTAATATTACCATATTACGTTGTACGATGAACATCGATTTTGCGAACGAAATTACATCTATTTATGTAATATTGTATCTGCTTTTTGCTATTACATCATTATTTCATACATCAGCTTGAATTACTTTTGCTGTGAAGAATCACTTTGGCCACATCGAGACACATTCCGGGTGTCCCGGGGGATGCAGCCAGCATCTGATTAGGGCCAAACCCCATCATGTGACACATCAAATTACATGAGAATTCAAAGACTAGTTCAAAGGAACTCAAATTTAGTTCCTAGAACCAAAGTGGCCACATCCGGACATATTCCGGGTGTCCCGGGGGAAGAAGCCAGCATCTGATTAGGGTTAAACCTCGGGTTAAACCCACCATGCGACACATCAAATTACATGAGAATTCAAAGACTAGTTCAATGGAACGCAAATTTAGTTCCAAGAACCGTTTCGACCAGATCCGGACATATTACGGGTGACCCGGGGGAAGAAGCCAACATCTGATTAGGGTCAAACCCATGACGCGACACATCGAATTACATGAGAGGCGAGCGAGCTTTTCGCGCTGCTTTTCGTGCCTTTACACATGACCGATCAGACCAACTCAAAATTGAGTCGAGTTGACTCAATATCGTTAAAAGTGAATTTACCACCGACAAACCGACATGAAACCTAAACCTAAACTTAACTCTTGATCGAGAATCTATAACGGCCGATTCAAATGTGTAGCGATCCCAGCTGTTCAAAACCATAGAAATGTTTTATCTAGATAAAAATAATTTGTCCGTAATAGATTAGACACGAACCAACTCCCAGATATAGTACACCTTCTTCTCGCATGGAAGCTCCTTGTTTTAAATGGTTTACAATTTTTCGATCACGGTGCCATCATATTGCTTCGCCAAGGCACTTTCCATCCGTGTAGATCAACTCAGAACCGGAAGTAGCCCAACGAACGAGTGTTGTTTATGTTGATCTGGCGTTGAAATGACCCAGGGGGAATGACACTTCAGGATTATCCAAAACCTCTCAAAAAATTTTCAACGTGCCCAAAATTTCAATTCATCCTATCTATTCTTTCTATTTCCAACTTATCCCTTCTGCATGCACACAAATTGTTAAGCAAGCCATGCAGTTTCTCGAAGATTTCAGGTCGACCTCGAAGCACTCTGCCATACTCACTGTCATTTTTCAATAATCTCCACAACAAACACCATGTATGTCAGCTGACTATGCCGGTTGAAAATCGGAAAACTTAAAAAAGATGCCGGACCACTCGTCTAAAATCGTTCGCGGGACAACATCAAGTTGTCCATTTCCCGGACTTAAACCGATCGAATTTGACGGATAAGAGCCCAGGTGTCTGTGTGTTGTAGCATGGAAGTTACGACAAGCAGGTGGAGAAGGAATTCAGGTAATTTTTCCAACCGGCCCAAGTTTTACTAGTTGCTGGTCAAGGATCCGGAGAAGAAAGAGCTAATGGTGAAGGAAGACACCCACCGGCTGATGGAGTTTCTGTGCGAGAATATTGTGATTCAAATTCCCGTCCAAATATAGCTGGGAATATTAACCGGAACCTAGTGATCCATCGCCACCACTCGTTCCTCATACTGTGCAGTTTCGACCTATTTGGTACGGAACCGTTTTCTGCACTGTATGTCTTTTTTATTTCTAGTTAATTGTATTATTATCAAAATAAAAACAAAAGATCAGCGTAACATCGAGTACCTGATATTCAAAAGTTTAAGCAGAGCAAAAATCACAAGATATAAAATTAAAACATATCCAT